TCAGAATTGGGGTCAAGGGAGATGGTTCTGGGGTCCCCGGTGAAGCTCCGAGGTGGAGTCTCACCTGAGGCTCAGAATTGGGGTTGGGAGGGGGTTCTGGGGTCCCTGGTGAAGCTCAACAGGGTCCTCGTGAGGTTCTCCAAAGGTGGCACCCGGGGACACATCCTGGCCTTGTGGCCCCTGGGGGACACCTCCTGTCCCCGGGGCACACCCCTGGTCCCTGTGGTCCTTTGAGGACACCTCCAGTCCCTGGGGGACATCTCTTGTCCCTGTGATCCTTAGGGGACACCTCCTGTCCCTGGGGACATCTCTGGACCCTGCGAAACCTCAGGGACATTTCTGGACCACGTGATCCCTTGGGGACACCTCCTGTCCCTGGAGGACACCCCTGGTCCCTGCAGCCCCTTGGGGACACCTCCTGTTTCTGGGGACATCTCTGGTCCCTGTGATCCTTTGGGGACACCTCCTGTCCCTGGAGGACACCTCTGGTCCCTGGGGACACATTTTGTCCTTGTGGTCCCTCGGGGACATCTCCTGTCCCTGGAGGACACCCCTGGTCCCTGCAGCCCCTTGGGGACACCTTCTGTCCCTGGGGGACATCTCCTGTCCCTGGGGACACATTCTGTCCTTGTGGCCCCTTGGGGACACCTCCTGTCCCTGGGGACACCCCTGGTCCCTGTGATCCTTTGGGGACACCTCCTGTCCCTGGGGGACATCTCCTGTCCCTGGGGACACATTTTGTCCTTGTGGCCCCTTGGGGACACCTCCAGCCCCTGCGGGACACATTCTGTCCTTGTGACCCCTTGGGGACACCTCCTGTCCCTGGAGGACAACCCTGGTCCCTGTGACCCTTTGGGGACACCTCCAGTCCCTGAGGACACCCCTGGTCCCTGTGGCCCCTTGGGGACCCCTCCTGTCCCTGGGGGACACCCCTGGTCCCTGTGATCCTTTGGGGACACCTCCAGTCCCTGGGGACACCTCCTGTCCTTGTGGCCCCTGGGGGACACCCCTGGTCCCTGGACGACACCAGGACCCCCCCAAGGGTCCCCTCCAGTTGCCCCCAGGACATCCATGGGGCCACTCCGTGCTTGGGGCC